TTTCTCTACACCATGAGTTATCTATAAGCAGGAAGGCAAAAACTATCAAGCTTTTAGCTCACCCTCTTTTAGCTTATCTTTTACTCTATGCTGTTAGCTAATCACTACAGTCCCCCACTTGAAATCTATTAGCTACCTCCACATTCTCAGTTGAGGTACAATTTTAACACTTTCATATACTCAGCTTAAAGGAGCTCTTGAAGCACAAACTCATCAGGTGCTTCCTGGGAGAAGAAATGCAGTTTCCTCCCTTTAAGATTTAGACTCCCCAAAACCAGATAAAGGGTCACCATGAGCCAGAATCAATCAGACAGCAGTGGGGGTTTTTTTATGCACATCTTTAAAACTTAAATATTAATTTTCAGTTAAATGATTCTGCCTCTATGTTTACAGAACCATACAGAAGACAATGTGGGGACTAAGAAAAATGGAGGGACACTAACCAATTTAGTATAAACTGTAGTCATGCCACTTTCTTTGTCTTTAGAGTAAGAATTTAATATAGGTCACCATGAGACAGGCCACTTCTATCTCTTGGGGGGAAAATCAGCATGTTAAACTGAATTAAAAACATATCGTTAGGAGATACTGATATGTCTACAGAATGGAGTCTAAATATGATATAAATATTAATGTAATAATCTTGAAAAGTTTAAAAACTTTGAAGAACGAAGTCAAGATAGGAGGTATTTAGTAAGAAGGATTCTTACTCTTCAATATTCAATCAGGAATATTTCAGATATTAAAAATGATTCAAAGAATTTTATGCCCCCACCTCTTTTTAATTTGAAAAACCTTTCTATTTTCTGTTAAAATATTAATCAAGGGAGTGATAAACAAGATTATATGTCTAAAGCAACAATAAATCACCGACCAGATGCCAGATTAAACATATTAATTTTAAATGCACAGCCAAAATAAAAAGACAAGAAAATATCCAGCTCTCAAAAACCAAAGTGCCCTCAAAGTGTGAGCTGAAAAGTCCAGCAAATACTGTAGTAGCCAAAACCTTGCACAGGGCAGAAGGTGATCCTGGGCTTATGTGACAGACCAGCAGGAACTGCCAGTTAATGCCCAACTCCAAGTAGGCTGCCCATTCTGTGAAAATAGGACGAGATAAAACTGACCCACTGGGCCAGAGCAAAGCCTGGATGGCTATTACTTGCCCTCGGCTTTATTTGACAAGAAAAAAGAGGACAGTCTCACACACATTTGGGTGTGCAGTCAATGTGATAATCCTGTATGAACCAGATTTGAGGAATCAGCATTCAACTCATTCTTCATTCCTGAAAATTCAGAAATACCAGGCACTATTATAGGCATCTGAGAGCAGAATAGCTTAAAAATTAACAAAAGAGATTAAAACAAAAATCCCTGAGTCTATAGAGCTTACTTTCTGGAGGAGAAAAATCACAACTTACTACTCTAAGAATGGATATTTTTTAAAAAGAATACTTGACAGAAGGTAATTCAACACTGCCCTACTTGGGAACTATGTCAATCTAGATTCCATGGAATTCTCTCAAAAAGAGAAGCCTGCACTGAGAATTACTTCACAGTGAAGAAGAGTCAGACAAAATAGCATCAAGTAAAATGGCTTCCTAGATAAAAAGAGAATGATCATCAAGAAGCTATAATAATCCTGGATTTGAATGTCCTAATATAGCTTCAAACAAGAAAAAAAAATAGTTGGAAAAGTAAAACACCTCAGAATGGTTTTAAACATGTCTCTGAAGTTTTCAGAGCAAACATACAGCAAATCCGTGAAGACGCAGCACATGTGAACAAGAGTTAATAATCTTGACTCAACAAAATGAAATGACAATACATTTTAAAACAGAGACAATTCTGTAACCATAAAGGCATACAGATTGACAAAGAAATCTCAAACAAAAATTATAGTCACATTCAAACTAGCACAAATTAAACATATTCAAAGTAAAAATGTTAACTAAAAAACAGTGTCTGTTCAAAATGGTTTTACAGGCTAGTTTTACTAAGTATTCAAGTATCAGATAAACTGAATATATAAACTATTACCCACAGAGTGAACTCAGTTGGTAGCAACTCCTTGCTAACCTTCCAATGTGTTTTTAGAGGCAGTAAATTGCCTAAGAGGAGACTACTCCTATTTCTCACTGGGAGCAACTGGTGGATTGGAAGTCTCTTTGTGTTAGGAACACACCTCGGGCATCAGAACTCTGGATATTAAAAGAATAGATAACAATTTCATTCATAAAAGTAAAAGAAAGGATGGGGGATCTAGAAGAAATTTCCAACAAAAGATTGTAAGTTATAAGAACATAAATTTAAAAAGCAACTTTTTTTACATTTGGGGTAAATCCAATGAAGTATCAATAAAACTCCAATGATGTTCATTAAAGAATTTACAAGCTGATTTTAAAATCCATATAGTTACCTAAGGAAAAAAGAACCCAAACAGAAGGAATATTACATGCTAATGTCCTCAGAAAGAGATGTGCCGGCATGTTCCAGAAAGAGGAGGATGGGGAACTGCAGAGACTAAGACAAAGAGTCACAGATCATGAAGTCAGACAAAGAAGTCAAGTAAGATACCAGAATGGTTGTACATTTGAGGCTGTTGTCATAATGTAGGCTTAGACAGTGAGTAAGGTTGGAAGGCACTGAAAAATCTGAATCAAGGAGGGATGTATTTGTTTTAATATGATCAATTTCACTACTGGCTTTAGAACAGATCAAGGAACTAGGGAAGCCACTGCATTAACTGAGGTCAACTCTAATAGTAGCCAAAGAGGTCATGATGAGATTCAGTCAGATTCTGATTCTGTTACTTAGATGCACTGGTGGATTATATAAAGTGTATGAGAAATTAGAAGCATTAAGGTTAACTTTTGTTCCGTTTCTAACTTAGGCACCTCATTGTTAGCAGTGTTCATGCTCTTAAAAGAAATCCAAACAAAATAAAACATTTTAAGAATGTTTTTAGAAAACATACGTTACATTAAAATACCACAAATCACTTGTTGAGTTGTATAATAAATCTTGTATTTGAAAACCATCTCTGTTAACTACATGAGTTGAGTTCCTAACTTAAAACAACAAACTTCTAAAAAAGAGTTTATACTTTCCTATATTAAGTAAAGAACAGAACAGGGTTAAATAACTTTTACATAATAATCTCTGGCTCTAACATTTATACATAATATATGTAAAAAATTTACCTCAAAGTGAAACTGAAAAAGAAATCATCACTCCAAGATCATCACCACCTCCAAATAGTAATTCACTTTAATTGCAAAAGTAAATATATTCTATAGTCCCATGATGGTAAGAGATCTCAATACAACCATGACTTTTTATAAACACAGACAAGTAGAAAATTATTCCCTGGTACTTTAATCCTTCACCCTCTGATTTAGAGGCCTTTCCATTCTTACTAAAGCCCACCAATATCTGCTGGTTCTGTTTAAGGTTATCCCAAACTCCTAAACTTAAAGAGAAGGGAGGATTTTGTGGAGAGATCACTGAGAAACAACAACAGTAAAGTGAGGATCTGAGATCTACATAAAAAGCTTTAGGTTTGGAATTTTAAGACTAGGATTAGAATTCCACCTCTGTCTGGCATGATTCTAAAAATCGTTTAACACAAGTGAGCCTTAATTTCTCCAAATATAAAATGAAGTCTACCAGATAATCTTTACAATTAATTTCTTTCCATTATTAAACTCTGCTTTTAAATCCATTTATTTTTAATATATAATACATGTATATGGCAGAAAGAATTTAGAAATTATAAAGGTATAGGAAATTCTCCAGTGAAAAGTCTCACTCCCATCCTTATCCCTGCTCTCCACCTTCATGATCTATTTGGAGGCAAGTGATTTTCATATGTAACTTTCCAGAGATTTTTTAAAAAATAAGAGCAAACATTTATCTTTTCTGTCACACAAACACTCTCTCTCTCCCCCCCCCCACCCCCGGTACCAGTACATAAGGTTTTTTCCATTCTTTTTAACAACTATGTAGTTTTCATGAAAATATCTATAAAAACTACTTATTAGTCCCTCCCCTAATGGTAGGTACTTGCATTCCCCGACCCCGTGTTTGTTGTTATAACGAGCACCATAAGAATGTTACAAATATATAATCTTAAATGCATTGTTTATCCATACATTTGGTTTTCATGGTACATTTCCACACATGAAATGCTGAGTAAATGGGACAATACTTTTAATATCGCCAAATAGTTCTTCCTTTTTGTTGGCACCTTCCTGCTCTTTCACCAGCAGGAATGAGAACCCTTATTTGTCCACACTGTTCATCTACACAGATTATATCTCTTGTTCGCCCAGTGGATTTCGAAGTCATCTGATAAATGAATAGTACCTCAAATCCTTGTGTTAGCACTGTTGTCTGTTAAAATCTATCATTTCCATAAGTTTATTTTTTCAGATTTCTTTCTCTTGAGCTAGTTTCTTTCTTTAACTCTTCATATCTCACTTTTTACTCTCCCCCCTGAATATGCCTTGGATGTATAAATGACAACACATTAAAACACACACTTTAATGTGGCTACCGTACTTAAAATAATGGGTCTTTGGGTCTCAACTGAAGAGTATTTGAGTGCATTTTTGCTCAATTATTTTAATTTATTATAATACCAAATTATTTGGCCATCATAACCTACAACCAGGAAAGAATAAGATAGATGAATAGGATCTGCTAAGAATCAAATCCCTCGGAACATCAAAAAACTTCTCCAACAGGGTAAAAAGGAAAGCCACCAACTGGGGAAAAATATTTGGTAATGACATATCTGATACGGGACTCAAATCTGAAAGTTGTATAATACTCCAGAACCTCAACAAGAAAAAGATAAAGAATCTGATTGCAAAATGGGCACAGGATATGAATACACTTCATCAAAGAAAACATTCAGATGGCGAACAAATACATGAATAAATGTTCAAAATCCCTAGCCATCAGAGAGAGACGCAAATCAAGACTTCACAGAATACCTTTAGGAGGAGTGAGGTTGACTCCATTTTTAAGGCACCATTGTACTGGCAAAATCCCCAAAGAATCCACATGGCACAGCATTGAGAGTTTACTAGGTTCTGATCTCAGATCGTCGATAGTCACTTGGAAAAAATGATTGTTAAAAATCTGAAAGAAAAAAAAATAATAGAGCCAAGTATTAATTTTTTTATCATAAATAATTTAAGCACAAAATACTGGCACAGGTCCCTAAGGCAATAAATTTATTTTAGTAAAAATTATTTAAGCACAAACTGCTAAAGAATTTAAACATAAATTAATCCAGCTACTTGAAATTAAAGTTGGATGCTGTGGTCATATTACCAGGAAAAAATAAATGAATAACTAAAATATACAGGCATGAGACAATAAAAACATTAAAGACTTGTTAGGAACCAGTGAGTCTAATACAACTCATGAACAACAGATCTGAAACCTGTCCTATTTTGTAACATTCTGATTATCTCGGACACATTGAGTCTAATGCAGCAGTCACTGTGTCAGTTCAAGGACAGTTAAAGGACTTCTGTTCTTTTGCTGATCCTCTACCCTCCCAAGCATGATGTCCCTCTCCAGGGAAGAACCTCTGATGGTGTAGTGGTAAAGAATTGCACTGCCAACACAAACCTATGTAGTTTAAATCCTTACGTTGCTCTATGGAGAAGAGCTGGACAATCTCCTCCTCTGTGACTAACTGCCTCTGGAAGCTCCCTGGAAGGTTAGCTATGGGTCATTTCTGACTTCATGGTAGACATCAATAACATGCCCAAACTATGTGGGATGAAATTTTGTCATCTTTGCTCCAAGAAGCACTCTGGCTGCACTTTCTCCAAGACATATCTGTTCTTTTGACAGTCCAAGGGTTATTCATTCGGTACCCTTCTCCAAAACCACAACTCCAAGGCAGAAATTTCTGTTCTGTTATCCTTATTCCAGCTCTCAGATGCACAGAAAGTGATTAGTGGAAAGAAAAACAAACTGATAAAGCAGAGAAAGCTTAACCAAGATGAAAACCAGGCTGAGAACCAAAAGGTCAATCTTGAATACCAGTTTCCATCAGCCACAGCAGAACCAAGTTCCTTGTATCTTTAAAGATCCTCCAAGATCTGGCTGAATCTCATTTTTCCAGTATCATATATCTATCTCTCCAATTTAAACATCCTATAAGACCCTACCCTGTCCTCACTCACAAATCCCGCTGGCTGTTGTTGTTATGTGCGTCGAGTTGCTTGCGATTCATAGCGACCCTATGTACAACAGCCCTAAACTCTGTCCTGTGCCAATCACACTGTCTCTGACACTCCCATCCCAATTATCCCAGTCACTGAATCAATCCACCTCATAGAGGGCCTTCCTCTCCTGCGCCTACAATGCCCCAAATTCAATTCAGTCTATCAAAACATAAAAGACTTTTCAAGGGGAATCTCTCTAAGGGCAACGCCATCAGAAAGTTTTCCAAGTTCTCTTGCTTAAAGAAAGGGCTCCCTGCTCTGCACTCCCAAAATAGCCAGGAGGTATGAGATTGTGTCTCTATATTAAAAATTCTCACTATTTCTCATGAGGTAATAACACCTCTGCCTCTCCTGTAAAAGTTTATGCTTTCAAAAGAAAAAAACCAAAAACTCTGTTGGCATTTATCTTGATTCACGGTGACCTTATGTGTCACATGGTAGAACCGTCCCACACCAACTTTTTCCTCAGTGGTACCAATGGATAGGTTTGAACCACACAGGAACCTTCTCTAAAGACAGGGTTCTGTTTTATTCATCAGTGTATATCCACAACACATAGAGAATACTTTGTAAACAGAAATTAAATAAACATCCACTTAATTAAAAAAATCAATAAATAAAAGGAAACAATCATGCAGATGGAAAAAAAACAATGAGCAAAGATCAGACAGATGCTAACTCTAAAAACATATAATGCAATTAAAAATTAGAGTACATAAGCAAGGCCTGCAAAATATGATGGTCATTATGTTCACATGTAATAACATAATTTCTTACATCCTCAAGCAGAGCCTTCTAAGTTTTTTCAAGTGTTTACAAAAATCTATTTCTTTATAAATATCTTCTATATTACAAATGTTCTGATACTTCATTACATAAAGAGACATCTCAGACCTGACAAGGTGCCAGCCCAAGCTCCAAAAGGCAGAGCATATACAACCTTGTATTATACAACACATGCATTATGCACATTAAGTTATATAACATATGGTCAGTAAAAGAAGGAAATACATAAATGAAACAGAATGACTATTTTCTTTTTAGCATAAAGTTAAAAAAGTAAATGCTAAAGAAAATGAAGGTTAAAAATCTATGAATATCCATATATATGCATACTATATCTATTCAGAGCAAAAAAACATTTTTTTAAAAAAAATGTTAATACTGAGAGTTTGTCAAAGTAGAGAAAAGTTTTTGGACAGAAACTAATCATAGGTATGATGCCACATTCAAATGTCATATATCGCAACTACTTAAAAGACATACAAGATAGCTTATCATTGACAAGTGCACCCGTTCCCTGGCTTAATTGATTTTATTCATCTCAAATGCAGCTACCAGTATGGCCTTTCACATTAAGACAATGGCACGTGGATATATAGTGCAGACAGATGGAAAGTTGGTGTCACTGTATCACCTACTATTGAAATTCTAACCAAGTTTCAACAAAACACTAGTTTTTTTTGGGGGGGGGGAAATCTCTGCAACTGCCAGAATACACAGTTAGGACCATTAAGGGCAATTTCAAATTAAAAAAAAAAATCCATTAATGAATGGTAAATAAACAGAAGGATATGGATTTCAACTTTGAGATTATCATTCAAAGTATGTTGATATTTCTTCCTGCTATGTGACTATTTAAAAAAATTCACAATAATGAACATGAAAAATGAATTCAAGTTCACTAAAGAAATGTTTAGGAAAGAAGAAAAATTCATTGTTGTAATGATTACTCATATATTGTAACATAACAGCAACAATAAATTTCTGAAACTTTATCAAATCTTGAATAAGAAAGTCCAGTTTATAACACTAAACCTGCATTAGTAAGATAAAGTCTATTGCAGAAAAAGATATTTAAATGGAATTAACTTTTGAACTTCTAATTAAGCTCCCCCATTGAAGTGGGTTAAGAGTCCATTAACGAAAATGCACAATACTATGAATACTAGTTTGCTGAGTTTCTCTGTGATTGATAAGATGATAATTAAGGTAGAAACACATTTTAGATATAACCATAAGTGCCTTCATCCATATTCTTCCACAGAGGAAGGCAAATTATTAAAGAGTAGCAGATCATGATAAAAAAAAATACCTTTACATGAAAGAGTAATTGCCTTTAAAATCTATAAACTGTAGAAGCCTGAGTTGTTTTTCAGTTACTGAAAACATGAAGAGGAAGGGAACAGAAGTTCTGACAAAATAGAGGCGAGAGTTTGCTTTTTACCATTCTCGGGCCATTTTCAGACAAATGGGCAAACGACAATTAAGTGAAGGAAAAGCAGGGTACATTAAAATGACTACGACAGGCAACTCATAAGCAGCTTAATTATTTTCATGAGAAGAAGAACAAATAAAAGTTGGAAAGTAACAGATGTGATGTGGCCGATGCCTGGTGGCACAATGGTTAGGTGCCTGACTGCTACTATAAACATCAGTGCTTCAAACTCACCAGCAGCTCTGTCCAAGAAAAGACTTAGTGCCTGCTCCCATGAAGAATGCTGTTGCTGGTTGTCAGGGGATAGAACTGCCCTCCAGGGTTTCTAAGCTATAATCTGTGCCGATGCAGACTGCCACCTCTGTATCCCAAGGAGCTGCTGATGGGTTTGAACCTCAGACCTTTCAGTTGGCAGGCCAACACTTAACTACTGTACCAGTAAAGCATTTAACTCAGGGACAACAGTATTGAAAGAGAATTTAAAGTAGAATAGTCCTGGAGAAAAGGCTACCTTTCTGTCATTTCTTTGATGGTGTTTGATATACTTGCACAAACATATTGAATCTGGCTTTGAACTGAATCCATTTATTTGATCCACTCCAGAGACAGCAGTGAGTAGAAAGGGAGAAAACCCACCTTAGTCACTGATGCAGGACAGATATGAAAGGGCTCACTCATATTCACTGTTTCTAGCTTCATGCCAACTGTGAAGAAGTGGCTTCGCAAATCTGCATGATCCTGCAGGAAGAAAGAGATAAAGGTATTGAAAATTGCAGCACTATGAATTAACTTGGAAACTGGCCGGATGATACCCTTGAACATCTTATTGGGCTACACGTGAAATCTGATTGAAATAATTAACCTTCCCATATCAAATTTCTAATTATTGCAAGATATGGAGAATTTAATTATTTTCTGTAGGCTAAATTGCTTTTCGAAGGGAGAGGAAACAAGCCTTTGTAGTCATTCTTAAATTTACACTAAGCAAAAAAAAAAAAATCACATGACATTGCTTTGATCTTTCTAGGGGCTATCACTTGAAGGAGTGCAGAGAAATAGAGACAATCAGTCATCCTAAACACAGCAGGAGTAGCTACAGAAAGCAGAGCCTCTTCTTGCTCCTGGAGTTACTTCACAGGGCTTCAAGTGAGTTCCATGTAGATGACACAGCTTGCCCCGGCTTCCTCGTGTTTAAGAGTATATGCCTTACCAATTAGGTAGTGGGCTGATGGTCTGGAGATGTGAGCACATAAGCACACAAAACAGCTCTTCAGACAGTACAAAGCTGACCCCTACTCTGTCAAGATGAGCGTACCAGCTGTTTAACAGTTGTCTGGCAGTTTTATAGTTCACTCACAGCAACCTTATGTATGAGAGATGGGGCTTGCCTCTCTTCACAAGAAAACAAATTTCAATACACACTTCAGCTATTCAGCAATAGATAAAGCTGGCTGGACTCTGGATACCAGAATTTATCTTGCTGAGATGGAGGTCACCTCATAACTCACAGCCTGTATAAATAGTAGTGGATAAATAAATGTATTTGCAGCCTGGCCCTGAGGAAGTTAATAGCCGCAAATAAATCCCGCCATTTTCAAGCACATCAGTTGGGTGTGAGGTACCAAAAAATATCTAGGGAGCTGTAACTTTCTTTTCACTCTAAGTCTAAAGTAGCTTTCTAATTAATTCAGAGTTGCCATTCTACAGCTGGTTCTGAGGATCAAAGGCAGCTTGGCTGAACAATGCCTGCTCCTTCCACAAAGCTGGTGTGTTAAGTCCATGATGAGAGCAGAGACGGGGATCACTTATAACTCTTCACCACTCCATTGCGTCAGAATGGAAAGTGGAGAATAGAAACACCTACAGAACCACAAGTATCCTCTAATATTTCATTTTCCCACAGTGGCTTCCAAAGGCCTCTAGACCCACTGGATGTGCAATGAATGATGGGTCTGACCAAAGCAAGTAACGCCAACTCCAAGGAGCGCTGCCAGTCAGCAGAGGAATCTAGTCAGTGTGCAATGATTTCTGGGACGAGAACTAATCAAACAAACTGGCATATTTTAAGCCTAATATATTCCTTAAGAGTTTACATGCATAAAGGAAAATACAAATATGTCTTGGAGATAGGTGCTGAGTTTCATATTATTTCACTGAAAATACATTGTTTATAAAGGTAGATTAAAAAGAAGGACCTGAAAAGAAAATGTTAAACAGGCAAAGAGTTAATGCATATTAAGGCACACTAAGCATAATGCCAATAAAACATTCTATTTCCTGAAAGCCATAAAGCACATGTTGTTGTTAAGTGCTGTCATTGTAGACGACTCATAGTGACCCTATGAACAAAAGACCTGAACACTTGTATAACTTTCATCTTTCTCCAGCGTCATAGAGTTTATGGAAGCACGCTCTTTCAGAACTGGATGCCACTCCTGCTTCCAAGCTTGTTTTAATTGGGAAGCTCTATCAAACGTACAACAGAACACAGGCAGATAAACAGAAAGGGCAACCTAGGTAGAACTATCAAGTATGGAAATACAAAGGAGGAGGAAGAGTTGTAAGCAGACCCTAGTGATTGGTACACGGAATGTGAGAGCCATGAATTAAGGAAAATTAGAAATTGTTAAGAAAGAAATGGAACGCATAAATATTGACATATTAGGCATTGGAGAGATGAGATGGACTGGCATGGGGCATTTTGA